CCTTCCCGCCGCCACCCGGAGCCGTGGAAGCACCTGAGGCCGGCGAGCGGGGCTGGGCGAGCCTCCCCGTGCGTGCCTACAAAATGGCGGCCGGGGACGAAAAGAGAGAGGCGGGGCCGCGGCCGCACTTAACAGCGGGGCCTTGGCGGGGCTGCCCGCGCCGCGCCTGAGAGAAAGTCCCGGGGAGGCGCCTGCCCGCCCGCCCGCCTGCCTGCGTGAGGTAAATCTCCGGAAGGAAGCCATTGTACGCCGATTCTGATAAAAAACGACGGAACTACGCCGGCAGAAGTTTGAGCTTTTCGCTACAGGAGGGATAAATGCCGGGTTTTTTTCATGGCTGTGCCGTGAGAGGGGGTTAGGAGAGGTTTGACAGCGGGGGTGGCGGGGAAGCGGGAAAACGAGGCAGGTGTCCGTCAGGGATCCTGAGGAGGGAGTTCTGTGGTGGAGCGGCTGGCCCGCCGTCCGTAAGGAATTATGTTTGCTGATGTAAAATATAAGCAGCCAAGAAGTTGTTTTACGACATTAAGGAGGTGCACCGAAATTTAAATTTGCGGTAATGTGAGCCTTCCGATACTGTGTGTCAGTCACGGCTGCCTGACTGGAGATCCAGGTAATCCTAGGCAGGAAGGCATGGTGGGAGAAGCAAACCAACAGCAGACGCAAAGAGGCTGCTCAGGTTTGGGGTTTCTTAGTATTGTAATGGGGTTTCTTCTTATTGTAATGCCATAGTTTCCAATTTCTGTGGCAGATGTTTCCACAAAGATAAATAACGTACGGATTCTCAACAAAGAGCCTTTATGTGGCCACAGGTTGCATCAGCTGTGTGGTGCCTGAAAATGAAGCGGACTGGTGAGCCGCTTCCAGAGCTGACGGCGTGACTCATTGTGTTTGTGCACCATCAGTATTGGAGCAGACAGGAATCATCATGGGAAGCTGATTGCAGGCAGGAGTGAGTCAAAAGAGGGCCTCCTTCCCCTGAGCTAAACATGCAGGGACAGTTCAAAACTTGTCTCAGCGAGAAGTTGCCCTACTGCAGGAATTTTTGTTTTGAATGAAAGAAGCACTTATTTAATTTAGGGGAGGCATGATTACTTAAAGCGGCATATAAAAACATATTTGATCCTCTGACTAACTTCACAGTTATTCTAATGTTGTCTTGCAAAACTTAAGCCCTTTCTGTCATCATTTTAAAGCTAGTTTAATATTTGTGGATCACAAGAATGGATATGGAGGATTAAATACACTATCAGGTTCTGCCTGCGAAGCTAGCTGACGGGGCATGTTATGACAGACAGAGGCCCTGTCTCCACACGAAATCTCTTGGAGTAAAGTGTTATATTTAGAAAAAACGTGTCTGTATTCCAGCTCTGCACCCTGAAAAATCTAGAGCTTAGAGCACCCGATATCTACACAGAGAAAATCTGTATATTTTAATATGCATTCAGCCTAGCTACCATGAAACTTTTCCAAGCGTAAAGATAGTTATAAGCCTGAACAGCTCTTAGGTGAGGAAGCATATTGGCAACAGATAGATTTCAGGGAGGGTATCAAGCAAAGTAAAGATGGGCAGCCAAATCCTAAAAGGCATTATTGAATAAAGGAAGATAGGCATTTTCAGTGAGCTGAACACCTTACTCTTGCCAGTGATTTACATAGAGGGCAAATCTCAACATTGAGCAGGAAGGAATGGGGAAGAAACTCCACATGTTGAAACTCATGTCCACATACAGAGCATGTAAGTGTAATCCATAAGGGAGCAGTAACTGTGAACTTAATTGAACTCTGCTTTTATTTGGAGCCAAGTAAGACATCAGGATTTGCTACATTTTTTTCCTGAATAAATTGCATGAGAGGTTTATTTGAAATTTCAGTAATGTTTTTATTCATAAAATTTACCTTGATTAGCACATTCCCAGGATCCTTCTTTAGCTCCACATTTCAAAGAAACAATCATGTTTCACAGCTTGTCTCCATTGAATCATTCACTGAGCATGCTGTCTGGGTCTGATCCAGAAGTCCATCAGCCCATCCTATCTACCAACATTGATACACAGTTTCCCCAAACTGTGGCCTACCAAGCACTTACAAGACTGCAGAGCCTTTGTATGTTGCTCACAGAAGGATTTCTTAATAATGGCTGTCTCCAGCAGACACAGGTGCACATGTTGTGGGGTGAGTTCTGGCCTGGAAATGAGCTAGCAGCCAAGCAGATGTGGGGGAGACCTGCAGCCTTACATTTCAGACTGTAGGTGCTCCCCTTACTGCCCTGCCTCCTGCCCTCAGAAACCCAGCCTAAACTGCTCTTCCTTGATCAAACTGCAGTTGTAGGATCCAGATTCCAACTTCTCCTAGGCTATAGAGCAAACGCCACATATGGTTCTGCTTCAGAAACAGTACATCCCCAAGAGTGGGGTGAGCGCAAGTGGCAACACCCAGCTTAACGTGAAGATCTAAAACCCTATGAAGGTCCCAGGCTGGTGCTCCACCCATTAATGTACTCTGGAAATCTCACTACACCATGGTAGACTGTGTTTCCCTCCTACTCTCCCTGCTTGGAGGTAGAGCAAGACAGGGAAAGCAGCTTCAATGGGAACCAATTCAAAAGTTGCTTGGGAAAGGAGCTGGAAAGGGAGGGCTCATTAGAAGTCAAAGGAGTGGGGACTAGATAAACATCACTTTGTTTTCCAGAGTGGAATCTAACCTGCCAAAAAACCCCAATTTCCAGTCCCCAAGCTCCCATTGTCAGGATTCTGATATCTTCTCTGGGAGAGCCCCATTTTGTTTCTGACACTTCTCTGCAGCATCTGTCTGGATAACAGCTCTCTCTAAAGAATAAATGTGCTATGACGATTCTGCACATGGGGTTGTCAGGAATCCTTCACTGAAATTTTAATGCACAGTGGGATCTGGCTCACTCCTATGCTCAGAGGACCAAGTGATACACACAGAGATCTCAAGTGTGACATTCCATTTGTGTTAGGTTATTCAGCAGGGCTGTGGAAGGAATTTAAATTAATGAGAGTCTGTAAAGGGCTTTGAGGTGAAAAATGAAAAATATTCCCCTTCAATAGGGTCTAGGTCTCCTGTGTCTCACATAATGCATTCATTACTTGAAAAAAAAGATAGCTGATTATGGCTGGAGCAAGATTTTAACAGAAATAACTGAGAATAGGTGTTAAACAAAGAGGACTGAAACCTGCAGTTCCTCTTGTGATGATGCTGCAAAACCAAGAGTCTAAACTGAAAATTAAAATGGTGAAGTTAATTGGTTACCCCATGGCAGGCTCCCATCCATAGAAATGCAGGATCTACCCTGCACTTCTGATCAAAAAGTTACTGACCAGTCATCTGTGTCACCTCTTAAGTTTACCCTGTTGTTCCATTGTTCACTCTTTCCAAAAGGATCATGTTATGTGGCATCTCAGAATCATGCTTCTGGCCCCTTTCATGGTCTCTTTAGCTCCCCAATGATTCTAGCTCTAACAACCTTTTTATTTCTGGTATTCAGTTCAACTCCTCATCGACAAAACCCATGCTGTAAATCTAAGCCTGAACCTAGTTTCATGGGAGTTAAAATCAATAAAATTTGGGTCTGAGCAACCAATCGCCTTCCAAAAATGACCGTACAAACTCCTTGGATGGGCTCACTGTGGAATCACAAAAGTGCCAGTACAGGTGGCTGTACTGAGCTGCATTGCCAGTGAGGCGTTCTGTGGAGGAAGGAGTGGAAAATAATGATGGCGTGCCCTTGAGAGAAATGAAAAGGCAAAAACTGTACAGACCAAGAATTGTGATGGGGCCCAGCATGTCACACACATGGGTGAAAGTTTTTATTACGCTAATGTTACTTACACATTAATTGCTAAACTAGATGCAGATAGATTGATACTGAACCTAAACAAATGGCTTTTTTCCCATCATTATCTTGACTGCCACATAAAATCTGAAATACTGAACAAGTTCTGTCATTCAACTGCTTATTTGAGTAACATGGCATTCTACTTATATATGTGCATCAGTGAATACTGCATTACTGAGCATACAGAAATCATCAGGAACTTCCAAGGAAGCTGTTGTGTAACTGTGACCAGCTTCTCACCAGTACCAAATAATATAATCCATTTATCAAACTTCATTTCAAAGGCAATTAATGTCCTTTTCCTCCTTTACTAATTGAGTGGCTTCTCAGGAAACTGGTTTCATTAATGCAGCATTTTCTCAAACTCCTTGTGTTACTACTTTTTTGAGGTCACCTGTCTGTACATAACCTCCCCTGAGTCCAACCCATCTAGCCAGGAACAAGCAACTCCTCATATTGTCAGCATCAGCCTCACTGTATATTTAGTTGTTTTGACTAAAGGTGATTAGCCACTCGTTGGCTGACACAGCTGGTAATTACAGATACTTTTTTCTCCTCTGTCATGAGGGAACTGAGCTGCTGCCAGCAGTAAATCTGCATAATGTGGAGATTTTTGTGGGGCTTTTCTTTTGATAACGTATTGAATATAAGTGTAGAATTAATATTAAAATATATTAAAAAAAATCTGATCTTTCACAATCTCCCTTAAGCCCTTTGCTAACTCTCTTGGGAGCTATTAACTACAGTTTAAGAAATAACTGGCTTAATGATTACAAACATACTATTTTCTCTTCATTTGTTTATGTCTGATCTTATGTGTACTTCTAGCTGGAAGAACAACAATGCTTGCCCTTTTTCTGTAATTATTTACACAGAAGAAGATCCCCTCTACACCTTCATTTTACTAAGCTAAATAATCCAGGCTGTTGGAGCCTCCAGGCACATAGCATGCTCCATGCATTTGCTCCCATTCCCGCACATGTCTCTTGAGTATCAGTGATCAGATTTGTACACAACAGTCCCAGTTAGCTTACTTACCATGCACCAATTACTTCTGAGATACTTCTGTTATTACTGAAGATGATCACGAAACATGAAGCTGAATTTTTTGCTGGCTGTAAATGTTTCAGTGCTTGTCCTTAACCTGCTAGCTGGGAACTAGGAGACAATTTTTTAATCTAACACTCATGCAACAGCCTCTCAGTGATTTCAGTGGCACAAAGTCAGTTCGTATATATTGATGATTTTGCTCAGGCAAAACTTTCAGGGTCTTCAAAGAATCTTTGTCTGTAAGGAATAAACAGGACAGAATTGGCCTTTAATCACCTTAAAATAGACTGGCCAAAACAAAACAAATATACTGTAGGAAAAACTGCAGACGGGTGGGGGCCAGACTTAGTTGACCTTTTCCTTATCTGATTTCTAGCATGTGACCATTTTATTCACTATAAAGTATAATTTTAACAGAAGCTCAACCTATGCCAATTGGTTTTTCAAGACAGGCTTAACTTTGGAGGGCAAAGAGATTTAGCTTTAAGTAGATCTGAATATGAGCTTTGCTGCTGAAATGTAATACCTGATGTAAAGCATATATAAGAACAGTTTATCGTAATGGCACACTGAGTTTGAACTGATGAAATCTCACTGAAACTATACTACAAAACAATTTTTTTGGTGCTAATTCTCAGGTGAGTTTGAGCCTAATTGTTGGGAGCGGTCAAATCACTGGAGGGCAGGGCTGCTATTGAGAGGGACTGAGACAGGCTAGAGAAATGGGTTGGCAGGAACCTTGAAGTTCAGGACAGGCAAACACAGTCCTGCACTTGGGTTGGAATAACTCCATGCAACAGGACAGGCTGAGGGCTGGCTGTAATGAAAGGGGCTTTGCTGAAAAGGACCTGAGGGTCCTGGTGGACGACAGCAATATGCCCTTGCCACAAAGTCAGCTACATCCAGGACTGTATTAGGAAGAGGTTAGCCAGCAGGACAAGGGATTCTTCCTCTCCATTTGGCACTTGCGAGACCAAATCTGGAGTATGCATCCTGTTCTGGGCTCCCCAGGACACAAAAGACATGGACATACTGAAGCAAGCCCAGTGGAGGGCCACCAAGACCGTCATGGGGCTGAAGCCCAGGGACTTCTTCTAGGAGAAGCAGCTGAAAGAGCTGGGTTTGCTCAACTGGCAGAGGAGAAGGAAATCATATCTTTCTTCTGCTCTCTCATGGGAGCGTGCAGAGAAGATGGAGACGGACACCTCTAAAGGGTGCACAGTAGAAGGACAAGAGGCAATGGACAGAAGTTAGAACATGGGAAATTTCTGACTCAAGATAATGAAAACATTTTTAATGTAAAGGTGGTCAAAAACTCAACCAGGTTGCTCAGAGAGATGGTGGAGTTCACATCCTTGGAGCTATTTAGAACTCAACATGGCACTGAGCAACCTGATCTAGCTGGACCTGCTTTGAGCAGGGGATTGGACCAAAGACCTCCATAGGTGCCAGAGATTGTTTTGAGTCTATGGTGATTCAAACTTATCAACATCAGGTGCTGTAGTTTAAGAAGGCAGCATGCCTGATGGATACAACAGCATAAAGTAAAAATGTGGGTGGAATCATTCCCTATTCTATAAATAGTTTATGGCATTGTATTAGCATATTGGCATCTGAGGTAGCCATTTGCATTTCTCGTTAAGTGTTCTAATCAGAGCCATTAACATAATTGTTTTTAATTGCTTATGAAATAGCAAAGAACCTTGCTGGAAGGAAAGGGCTACATAAAATATTGCTAGTTTTATTTCAAGTAAAGGAATGTTTTCCACTTAGTGTTAGCTGAATTCCAGTAAGCACAAATTTAAATTTATCTTCAAACTATGCCAAATTAAATTTGTTTTTCTGTATAAATACATAAAGACAAAGTAGAATGTTTATGATTTTAATAGTGCTACAAAATGCTCTTTTTAATAATGCATGAAGTAACCAGAGTTATTGCAACCTCAAGCACTGAGCAGATTGTAACAATCTTTCAGTGAACATTATTGTCTTACTCTAGTTCTGCATATCTTCTGGATGCTAAAAGAAAATCCTATCCTGCCTTCATAGCTTCCTCTTGAAGGAAAAAGCAGGCAGAATCAAATACAGAAACTACAGGAGTAAAAAGCACACTGTTCTCTGCATTAAAGCACTTCTCATGTGATTATAATTCCAATTATATATTCTCTCCTAGGTGCTTTAGCAGAGTTTGAATTTGTGGTCAGAAAATGTCAGCCTTCACTGAGTGATTTGCTTTTTGCAGGCCAGCCTCCTTTCCAGCTTCTGCAGTCTTACACATGCCAGTATCTTAAATGATGAACCTGAGACAGAACCCATGACATCACAAGGTACAGATGCATTAAAATAGTTGTATTTTTAAAAAATACATGTGCTTTTATTTTCACCCTGTTTTGAACATTTTCAGTCCTGCCATCACATTTTTCAGTTTTCTAGCCTATTGAGCCGTAAACTTGTTATAATAAACAAAAGGTGAATTTCTGAAGTAATCCTCATCACCTGAACCCAGGAACTGTGGTTACAAGGGAACTATCATATATCACAAGGCTTGCGATAAAATAATGAGAGTTGGCTACGCTCTGACAACCCCGTCAATGAGACAACAACAGCTGCTCTGAACAAACACTACAGCCAGAAAAGAACAAATTAATGGTCAGTCAAGGAGAAGTGAAACGGCGAATTAACAAAAGATAAAACTTGACCGAGCTACAACCAACCAAGGATAAACTAGACCAACTTTCCATACGTATAGTAGGAATAATAGTGCATATTTATGGAGCAGGGTCATTGTTAAGGATCAATTCATTAATATTTTTTAAATGCTGTGGAGTCCTTCATGGAATATGCAAAATAGTAATGTGAGCTAATTAGCATATGTGCTGCTCCATGGCAGCCGCAGCTTGTCCAAGGGAGAGAGGCAGTGCAGGTGAAGGGGCAAAACAGGGCAAAACAAACACAGGGCAAATGGCAAGAAGAAGTGCTGCAGGAGGAGAAGAGGAAATTAAATCACAGGGGAAATGAAAGGAGGAAATGAGGCTGTACGGGACAAAGAGGTGATGCCTGGGTTACTGCTGTATAAAGACACAGGGCACAAATCCATATGAAATGGAGCTTTATTAGTTCCGCTGCTCATGCAATAACTTGTGGTTGGTTGGTTGTTTTCAGTTGTTGGGTTTGGGGTTTTTTTTGGTTTGGGTTTTTTGTTTGTTTGGGTTTTTTTTTTCCAGAAAAAACTAAGTATAACCAGAGAAAAACAAGTATAATCAGATGGAAGTATTTAACTGACCATCTGCAAGTACAGAGGTGAACTGTGGGTCTTCCAGAGTATAAATCTTCCAAGAGAAGAAATAAAAATCATTCTAGTTCTGTATTACTGACAGAGAGCATTGTTTGAGAACTGATTGCAACATGCATTTGAACAATAGCTTTAGATCAGCAGAAGCACAAAATATTGCTCACTGTGACATATGTTTCAATTAAAACAAAAATAATTAACCACCCATTAGTGTCATGAAAAACACAGGCTATTAACAGTAAATGCTCTTTAGCAATTTTATTATCTCCACAAAGCTCTTTCCAGTATTTTTTCTACCCCTTATTGATAATTTTTTCCACTGCATAGCTATCTGCATGGCATTTTACATATTCCTCCTCAGCTTCCTTTATATCTTGGTACTGTAGAGAACTGATTAGTGGGGGGGGACTGTAATGATACAAAGACTCTTTACCTGGAGGCTGCCTGTTGTCATATTGTACATCACTGTTGTTATTACATGACAGCTAATCCTGCTTTTGGAGAACTGCTGCGAAGATCACAAAAATACTATCTTGCTGACTGCAGCAGGAAGCTTTGCTTGGTATTCTGGTAGAGAACACTGAGAATGAAGAAGCGTCTTGCACTTCTCACCTCTAGTAATGGATTTTCCATTTTTCCAGTGTTAGAGCACTGTCACTGACTCCTGAGGTTTTCATCTAAGGAGAAACTGGAGTTACTGAGACACTGGTTTCCCTAGTGCCTGTGTCAAAGATCAAAGCCATTAATTTTTAAGAAAAGTTTCTATTATTGGAAGTATTTCATTACAATATTAAACCCCCCTATTTCTCCAAAAGATTCTGTTCAGAACAACATCAAAAAGCAGTTATTGTTTTTGTGCCTGGTTCACGTCCTTTCATATCGAGATCACCAAGACCCAAACTATACACATTTTTCTTGCAGAATACAATGACATCTTTCAAAAGAGTTACCATTTTATAAACGGACTCTTTTTCTAAGAACTGTAACTGTATTTTCAGTTAGAATTCCACCTGCTTTTAGGAGTCTAAAGACTTAAACAGTGGTAACAGTTTAGAAATGTCCTGTTATTTTCAACACAACTAAATTCTTATATTTTACAGTCTTATTGGACCTTTCTTTTAACCAATGTATATTTTAAGTGCTGTTGGTAGAAATTTGTATTCAGTTTAGTAGCATAAATTTTTTTATTTTCTCTTTTAACTTTTCAGATGTTGGTAATCCTTTGTGTAATAACAGGTTAATTGTTTGCCAGCTATATATATATGGCAAGATGCCCAGTATCAGCTGAGCTGTGAAAATGGAAGTATCAAAATATCCCCATGTGTGAACACTGCAAGAAACAAATATTACTCTCTGCTTAAAACAAAAACCACAAACCAACAAAACCCAACACCCTTACTGAGGAAAGCTTTGGTCTTCCAAAATGAGTGCACAGGAAAAATCATAATCAGCAAATTTTACCCTGTCAGAGAACTCTCACCTAATTTATTGTTTACAGATTTGGTCTAATAATATTATTTCTCACACCTCTTTGTAAAATATTCTGAGATTTACTGATGAAAAGTGCTAAGGAATAAAATAATATTTCTCTATTGTACAATTGTAATATCATGATTTTTATAATTTGTATAGTTTTCTGTGATAATAATCGATTAATGTCTTGCTTATGATTACAACTAAGACTGAATTTTTTTCTTTGGAACCTACGAATAAAATGTATCACTTGTTTAACAACTTGCTCAGATCCTCCTATATCCAGTTAGTCTACCACCACCCCCCGTCATGGCTCCCAGAGAGCATGTACAACTGTTATGAAAATAGTTGTATTTTCTGGAAATGTATCCTCAACATAATTTACAAAGATTAATCTACTAATATAGATGTTTAACTACCTGTCAGTCAGTACAAGATGGTTTGATATAACATGACTTTCCAAATATATTTCCTGTTTGTCTCTTCTGTTCCCAAGAAGGATCCAATTTCACTCACATAGTGCGTTAAGATTCCACTTCTATATAATCTGATGCAGCTTCAGGTTTTCTTGGAATTATGAAATACAAGTTGGGGAAAATTTCTTTTGTGTCTTACTCTCTATTACCTCATAGCATGAATCCTGCAACACCCACTGCCCACAAAAGTGCATTTCCATAGCAAGGCTGGTTAATATATCATGAGAATGGTGGATGACCTTCACTGGGCTATGTGTCAATAAAAATACAGATGGTGAATTCAGATGGTTTTCTTGCAAGTAACAACAACACCGCCCCCCCCCCCCCCCCCCCCCCCGTCCT